GTTCGACCGCTCGCACAAGCATGTGAAGGATCTCCCTCCCTCCGCCGTCTGCAGCGGTCCTGCCCTCGTGTCTCGTCGGAGCACTCTCCTGCTCACCGTTTGGTCCGGGGAGCCTGACGAGCGAAGCGCACACAAGTAAAACGCCACGAAGTGATAGGTGACCGCTTAGGGCGACGAGATCTATGCATATCCACTGCTCCTGGCCAGGCCAATCCTGGGCCCAGGAGCGGTGTATACGCCCTCCTGGCCTGGCCAGGGAGGCATATACACATCTCCTGGGCCCAGGATGGGCCTGGCCAGGAGCAGTGGATATGTATAGATCTCGTCGCCCTAGTGCGCGGTGTCAGGTTCGCAGGCGGGTGTCTCAGAGTCCGCTGTTCTGCAGCCTCGTGCACAGGCACGCTCTCCAGTGCGCCCAATGGGGTGCACTCGGCGGCCCGCGAACTGCACGGGCGGGGCACGCTCACAAAGTACATCGAGCACCTCGTGCGGCAGCGTGGGCAGAGCTCGGGGCCCAGGTGAGAGACGGGCATACCCCGCCCCCTGCACTGGGCAGCAGGGACCAGGCGCGTCCCCGCGCTTGTTGGCGTCGCGGCCACGCGCGCAGCGACGCCGCGGAGGCCGTCGGAGCAGCGCCCGCGAGAGCCGCCGAGGTCGCCGAAGCGGCCGGGGACTCACGCAGCCTGGCGAGGAGCTCAGGGCTCACCCATAGGAAACCACGTGTCCCCACGCGCACAAACACACACACACACACACTTAAGCCAGCGGCGCACAGGGTCCCCAGGCGCGAGCAGCAGATGGAAGGGCGAATTGCGACCGAGCGTTGTCGATAGCGCAGCGCACAAGCGTCGCACACTGCAACATGCAAGCGATGGGTGTGTTAGAGAAGCTGTACGTCCAAACGAAACATGCAGCACGCGCACACAGACACAGACACCGTCGGAGCCTCTGACTATCAAGAGTAGGTGGCCACATGTGAACCCACACACACACACACACACACACACCACGATTTCGAAGGGGAGGCGGGGTTGCACTCCGCTCGGGGGCTCCCGAACGAAGTGAACCCCCACCCACCCCTAGAAATCGTGTGGGGTGGGGGTAGGGTTCACGTGTGGCCACCAAAGGAGATTGCTCTCACGTGCCCGACCAAACGTTGACCCCAGCCTCCCCCCTCACGACCAGCCTCCCTTACTGCAGAGGCCTCACTTGATCTGCGTACGTGAGCTCGCCCTCGGGGTCGACATCGCGCTGCACCACCCAGACGTCGAACCTGTCCTTGGCGGCTGTCACGAGTGTGCCCGGGAACCAGTCGCCATTGTAAGACACCTCGACCCGCGAGCCCGCTGCAGGCTCAGAGCTCTCTGGGGCATCACCGCCTGGACGCAGCATGTGCGTGAAAGTCAGCTGGCCCTGGGGGTCCTGGTCGCACTGCACTGCGAAATCACCGCCGGCTCTGGTCGGGAGTTTCATGACGGTGCCCGGATACCAAGAGCCTCCGAGGAGCCAGAAACCCTCACTCCTCACTCCAGCGTGACCGTTTCAGCACTCTCGCGCGTGCAGATCAAATCGAGGCCACCCCAAATCAGGACTGCCACCAGCGGGGGTTTTGCCTCACTTCTCCAACTTCGTGAGACCATGGATGTCTGGCCTTGCCTGCTTCACGCGCACGCTCCTGCCAGGCACGCTGCGCTCACCTGTGCACGGCTCGTCGTTCTTGTAGCGCTGCCCGCTTCACTGCCCAAAACCTTTCGGTCGAAGCACTGCTCACGCCTCAACATCGCCCTCGCGTCTTGAAGAAGGAGGCCTCTAGGCCACGGGGGTGCGCCCCCGCATGCTCCTGCCGCCTGCGCGCGGCGATCGCACAGCCGCCACCACTCGCGCCCAGGCAGGGCGCAGCCGTGCTGACCCCATGCGCCACACTCTGCCCCCGCGCGCGCGCGCCGCACTCCTGTCCCGTCCCCTCCCCGCCCCTCCTGGTCCGCCCCCTCCCTGCTCATGCCCTCCTCTCCCCACCCCACACCCGTTCGGTCCCCCCGTAGCCTTCACGAGGCGGGGGCAACCAAAAGATGCCGATACCGCTACTCCCCGGACCTCACCTGGGGTACGTGCTGACCAGAATTTCAAAACGCCTCCTCTCCCCACCCCCTACCCGTCCCCACCCTTGGCCTCCACGAGGGTGGGGAAGCTTACAGATACCGATACCTCTACTCCCTGGACCTCTCCTGGGGTACGCTCCGCGCTCTGACCAGAATCTCGAGACGGATCCAGCCGTGGCGACGAGGGCCTCCCAGGGGGCCCAGAAGAGCGAAAACGATGCAAGGGCATGTGAGCTCGCCAGCGTGGACATCGCTTCGGAGACCCAGGGGAGCCGTCGAACTCCGCCTCGACCCGGGAGCCCTCGGCGAACCCTCCGCAGTCCACGGGGCCCTCCGCCGGCCCCGTCTGCGGCAAGCTGCCGAGCAGCGGCGCGCCTCCGCCCCTGTGTGGAGGCTTCCAAGGAGGGGCTGGTCCCTGGCCGATGCACAGACGATGCCTCGGCGGTAGAGCCTTAGATCGGGCATGTCCTCCTACAGGCGGAGCATGCTGGAAGGATGAGAAATAGCCCAAAAGTACCCCGAAATAATCAACAGTCTCATAAAGATCGTCCCCAGACTATGTTTTGACTATGCTCGAATACTCCTCCTGTAGAGGGGCGTGCCCGACTTAAGTAGAGTCGACACACACGAAGAAGAATCTTGCTACAGGAAACCTAGGGGCACCTACTTCGTCGATCTTCAAGGATTCTTAGGATGCCGCACGAGCTTCTGTGGGTCCATGTGGCCAATGCGGGGCGACACTTCCGTGTGGGGCACCTGCTGGCAGGCTGATTTCTTATGTTGTGTGCCTCCTGTAAAGTTGAGGCCAGTCCACAAGAAACCTTTCACAAGAAACCCAACCCTGAGACCCCAGGGCGTCCATGGATGTTTGGTGCGGGAACGTTGCGCTTTCCATCGCAAAACGATCGAAACCGTAGAAACCAAGGGCACCCTGGAGGCAAGCAGGGTGTTTCTTGGCATGGGCCCCCACTGTATGGGCCTATACGAGGGCTGGACTCGCGATTCGCCTTTCCGGGGCGTGCTATCAGCTCGAGTGCTAATCAGGCAATTGTTGTGGGAGCCTGGGAGGGTCCCCCCGTTCGAGCGGGACCCCCCATCCAACACTTTGCGCATGTAGCCTTGGTGGAATGTGGACCTCGGGATCCGCAGTGGCTAGGCCAAGGGCTGGCTGTCTGCTCACGATGTGGCACGATCAGGGACTCCCCCCTCAAGCTGATGGGAACGTTAGGGGGGGACCGGCTCAGGGGGGAGAACCATCGAGTTGGAATCGGCGATACGATGGGTCGGCGACAGGCCCACGGTAGCGAATCCGTACGCTCCTGGGCGGGGGGTGGGCTACTGGACCCCCATCAGCGATGAGTGGGCGAATGGGGGTCGATGCATCCCCCCATGAGGATGCCACTGGTGTTTGAGAAGCCCAGACCTTCGGGGCACGTCTTCCGGTGCTGCCGCCTCCGGTGCCGCTCCCGCCTGAAGTGTGCGTGTGTGTGTGTGTGCCAGATCGTGAAACCGCGCTCGCGGGAGGGCCTCGCGAGATCGCGCACACGCAGATCCCCTCAGATGATAGGCCCCGCCGCCGCTCTCGGCGATCCTCACCGTCGGCCCACCGCAGTTCAAATGCGGCTTGAATCTTGGATCAAGGACCGTTGAGTGTGGCATTGGATGAATCAAGGCGGCCGAACTTGGACAACATCGCGCATGAGCAAAACCGTGTGCTACAATTCGCCTTGCTGGCATCCGCGCGTGACCACCTCCAATCGGAAAAGGGGGTGTGTCCGTCAAAGGGTTGCTTCTGAACGCCTGGGTGATGGGCAAAAGACCACGCGGGCGCTGGGGCGACAGCGCCAGCGTAGGTCTGGGGCTCTCGTAGCAGACTCGACATGGACTGCGGAGCAGCAGACGGCCATCCCCGCGACTGTATCCCTGGATCGGGGGCGGCCCAAGGTTCAGTCCGTACCGCGCACGTCCTGCACTCGGAAAAAAACGTTCTCCTCGACCTCCGCTTTCTCCCTGTGCTATCAGTTCTCAACCAAACGCCAACCTCCACAGGAGCCACAACCCAGTTAAATGAACTCAACCGTCCTCGGACACACAACGAGCGCCGCCACTAGAGCTTCAACGTGGGCCTGGCGAACCCCATGGACTTCTCAACTCACCCAGAGGTCGACGAACGGGCGCAAGCCACTTGAACAGCAAGAACCCCATACTTAGGAGATGGGGGAAAACATATTCCAGTGGTCCTCTTCTGTGCAAGCGCTGCCCAGAGGAAACCCCGTATCTCCCACGCTGTTGGTCTTCTCTCCTCTCTGGCCGAGACAAGCCCACGACGACCCAAGAACAACAACATGGATCAAGCAGGACGCAGGGAAGTGCCCAGGAGGGCCACGAGACGACCCAATGGAGCGCCACGGCCCACGACAGCTGAGAGATCACAGAAGCCATGCCAGCCCAAGAGACGCATCTATACAGAAAGTGCGTGTCCACCCGAGGCATCTATAGTACGCCTCGAAGCCCAACAAAGAACTTCGAGCGAAGCACACACACACACACAGAACTAGGGCTCCCAACTTCGCGCTTCGCGCTCCGCGAAGCGCGAAGCGCGAATAACTTCGCGCTCTCGCGCCGCCCCCCCAAAGGGACAAAAGGAGGACGAGGAGGAGGGGGAGGAGAAACGAGGACCGCGAAGCGCGAAGCGCGAATAACTTCGCGCCCTCGGGGGAGCCCTTGACAGAACGGGGTGCGGCCGTGGTAACACCGCAGGGCGCTGTGACTGCCTCGGCTCACGAGGGCTACCACCCAGACCCGGTCCGTGAGCGATCCGGGCGGCACGAGATCGAGCAGGCGGGCGAAGCGCCCGAGATCCGGGACGGCCCGAGCCGGGTGCTCCGAGCAGGGGCTCCGTCACCTCGCTCTCGAGGCCGGCCGGCCCTGCGGACCTCGGAGGCTCCGAGCAGCGAGCAGAACATGCACCCCCTCCCCCACCCCGCAGCTGAGGAGGGGGAGGAGGAGGAGGAATAGGCACGGAGCGCCCGCATTCCCATCGTAGGGGAGGAAACAACGCATCTACAGTCAACTTTCGGAGGTCCGCGCGGATTTCTTGGACCGATGCTGGCCTTCTCTTCTTATCCCCTGTGGCGCGGAGCGCGCCAGGGGCGGCGCCGGAAGCGCCGCCAGGGGGTGTCCAACGCCGTCTCGAGAGTTCTGAGCCGACCCCAACTAATTGTGTTTGCGCAGTTGCTCCTTCTTCTTCTTCGAGACGAGGACAAGGAAAAGGAGGAGAAGGAGGCGCAGGAGGAGGAGGAGGAGGAGAAGAAGAAAGAGGAGGTTGACGGTTGGCGTGCCCTAGGAGGAGGTGGAAGGAGGAAGGAAGGAGGACGGGTTGCTCGACCCCCGTGGGACCACGCGGCGGCCTCGGTGCTCTCCTCCGCCGCCGCCGCCGGGCCGCCGCAGCAGCCGAAGAGAAGCCCCCCGCCTGGCGCGGCAGGGCGCGCGAGCCCTTGCAGGGCTGAGGCTGGCCGGCATCGGCCGCCGGACGCCGCGGCCTCCCAAGGGTTCCCCCTCCCGTCACCAGACCTCCATCTTCTAGGGCTCCCAACTTCGCGCTTCGCGCTGCGCGAAGCGCGAAGCGCGAATAACTTCGCGCTCTCGCGCCGCCCTCCCAAAGGGAGAAGAGGAGGACGAGGAGGAGGGGGAGAAGGAACGAGGACCGCGAAGCGCGAAGCGCGAATAACTTCGCGCCCTCGAGGGAGCCCTTGGACCTCCATCTTCCGTGGCCACTCGTGGGAGCCTCCCGTACCATCCTGCTGGCTCCTGCGAAGCGACGCTGATCGAGGCTGGTCGGCGCTACATCGACGCGACGTGGCGCGGATCGAGGCTAGATCCGCGCTGCATCATCGATTTGCAGACGCTGACCGGCGCTAACGCACGCTAGATGGAATTACGAGGGCACACAGGGATCCGATGACTTGCTGCCGAATGCAACGTATTGAATGGGACGCAGAAGGACATACTAGTACTATGTGCTGATGTTGGAGGCGCACGTCCGACACGAATAGACAGTGCACAAGTCTTACAGCGCGTCGCTTCCGAGGCGGTATGGCCAGAGAGCGCCCGCCACGCAGCTTATACGATGAGATGTCTGAGCGTGAGCGTCGCCCTTGCGGGGTCGACGCGCACATAGTGTAAATATGTTTGAGAGAGGTGCCGATGAAAAACAAAGACAAGACGTAAGTCTTTCGTCGCTTTCGGCGTTTGGCGGCCATCGCTTGGTCCCAGGACCGTCCAAAAACCGCTCAGGATGAAAAGCCAGGGGAAGGGGTCAGAACTTCTGGGGGCTCCGCATTGAAGAAATCAGAACGTCGGACCTCTGGACCATCGCCGCCTTGCTCCCCCCCCTGCCCACCCCTCCCTCCCAGCCTCCCCTTCTGAATCATCATGGTCATCCGCTGTTAGCGCATGTTCCCCTGTTCCCCCTTCCCCCATCCATTTCGCCCTCCTCATCCTATTCATCCCCCTCCTGGCACGTCCCCGGCAGAGGTTCCATCATATGGGGGGGAGGGGGGAGGGGCGTTTCGCGGATTCCTGAGTCCTGGGTCCTCCCCCTCCTTTTCCTCCTCCTCCTCCTCCTCCTCCTCCTCCTCCTCCTCATCCCTATCCTCATCTTATTCATCATCATCATCATCATCATCATCATCATCATCAGCAGCAGCAGCAGCAGCAGCATCATCATCAGCAGCAGCAGCATCATCAGCATCCTCATCCTCATCCTCATCCTGATCCTCATCCTAATCCTCATCCCACTCCTCCTACTCGTTATCGTCTTTATCCTGCTCCTCGTCGCGGGCGTTTTCGTCTTGCGTCGTTCGTCGTTCGTCGTGGTCGTCGTCCTCATCATCCTCGGTCTCGTCCTCGTCGTCGTTATTGTCCTCGTCATCCCCAGCATCATCATCATCATCATCATCATCAGCAGCATCAGCATCATCATCAGCATCATCAGCATCAGCATCATGCTCATCATCATCATCATCATCATCATCATCATCGTCGTCATCATCATCAGCAGCATCATCATCATCAGCAGCATCAGCATCGCCATCATCATCATCATCATCATCATCATCATCATCATCATCATCATCATCATCATCATCATCATCATCATCATCATCGTAATCAGCATCACCATCAACAACGTCAGCATCAACCTCAACATCCGCATCAGCATGATCATTATCGTCGTCGTCGTCGTTTTCGTTGTCGCCATTTTGCGTTGTATGGGTTCTCCTGTCCCCCTCCCTTCTTCCTCCTAATGCCCCCCGCCCTCCCCTCCCATGATTCCCCTCCCCCACGTTCGCACCCCTACTCATCCATCCTACTCCGCCTCCGCGTGATCATCATCATCATCATCAGCAGCAGCATCATCATCATCATCAACATCATCAACATCATCATCAGCAGCATCAGCATCAGCATAGACATCATCATCATCAGCATCATCATCAGCATCATCATCATCATCAGCAGCATCATCAGCATCACCATCATCATCAACGACAACAACAACGACAGCAAAAAGCAAAACAACAAATAGCATCACCAGATTACGACTCACCAACATCATCCTGAACGTAAGTATCAGCATCCTCCTGATCATCATCGTCCTCATCCTCCTCATCATCATCGTCGTCATCGTCACCATCGCCGTCATCATCGTCACCAACATCATCATCATCATCATCATCATCATCAGCATCAGCATCAGCATCATCATCAGCATCATCAGCAACATCAGCATCAGCAGCATCATCATCAGTATCATCATCATCAACATCATCATCATCATCATGATCATCCTCATGCTCATCCTCATGCTCATCTTGCTCATCATCACCATCATCACCACAAACACCAGCACCAGAAGCACAATCACCATCACCGCAACCATCACCACCATCAGCATCCATCACCACGACCACCACCGCCAGCATCCACCACCATTACAAGCGTCATCATCATCAGCATCGTCATCACCATCATCGTCGTCTTCGTCATCATCATCCTCATCCTCCTCATCATCATCATAGTCATCAGCTTCCTCAGAACCATCGTTCTCAATGGACAATAATTGCTGTTGGACGTCGTCCCAATTATTTCTGTTTTCGTTTCGGTCGACCGACTTGGTGATTAGTGCGATGGTGGTTACTGCGGTCTGCTTACGCGGGTAAAACATGCCCAAATGGGCGTACCACCGTTTCGTAATCTACATAGTGGTTGTCCGTTCGCGCAGGCGGTCCACGCAGGACCGCCAACTGCTGACCACCATCTGGGATTACGAAGTGGTGATCAAAAGCTCTGGGCTCACATATGCGGATGAAACCTGTTTTTGCACACTAGCTCACCCACCGACGACTTAGCAACCCTTTACAAAGCAACAAGACACAACATATACATAAACGTTCGGAGGTTCGCGCTGATTTCTTGGACCGCCGCTGGAACCCTCCTCCCTGGCGCGTGGAGCGCGCCAGAGGCCGCGCCCGAGGCGCCGCCAGGGAGGGACAGCGCCGATCAAAGAAATCCGCACGGACATCCGAAGTTCGCAATTCCCAACCATCCTGTGGTGTTGGGTCCCCTTTTGAAGAGACAGCGCCCCGCGTCACCTCCTCCTCCCGCTGCCCCCTCCCTCCTCCTCCTCATCCTCCTCCTCCTCCTCCTCCTTCTCCTCTTCTTCATCCTCCTCCTCCTCCTCCTCCTCCTCCTCCTCCTCCTCCGCCTCCTCCTCCTCCTCCTCCTCCTCCTCCTCCTCCTCCTCCTCCTCCTCATCCTCCTGGTCCTCCTCCTCATCCTCCTCCTCGTCACCATCAGCATCATCCCACCCATTTTGGCACACCCCTCACACGGTTCGTGGCCCCACAGGGATCTCCACCGAAGGCCCCAGTGGCACAGGGCGCATGCGGGGACCGCCACCCATTTTGGCACGCCCCTCACATGGTTCGTGGCCCCAAAGGGAGCTCCACCGAAGGCCCCAGTGGCACAGGCCGCATGCGGGGACTGCTACCCATTCTGGCACACCCCTTACGCGGTTCGTGGCCCCACAGGGAGCTCCACTGAAGGCCCCAAGTGGCACAAGCCGCATGCGGGGACCGTCACCCATTTTGGCACACCCCTCACACGGTTCGTGGCCCCAAAGGGAGCTCCACCGAAGGCCCAGTGGCACAGGCCGCATGCGGGGACCGCACCCACTTTGGCACACCCCTCACGCGGTTCGTGGCCCCACAGGGAGCTCCACCGAAAGCCTGAGTGGCACAGGCCGCATGCGGGAACCGTGCCCGTGTTGGCACACCCCTCACGCAGTTTGTGGCCCCACAGGGAGCTCCACTGAAGGCCCCAAGTGGCACAAGCCGCATGCGGGACCGCCACCAATTTTGGTACACCCCTCACACGGCTCGTGGCCCCATAGGGATCTCCACCGAAGGACCCAGTGGCACAGGCCGCATGCGGGGACCGCCACCCATTTTGGCACACCCCTCACACGGTTCGTGGCCCCACAGGGAGCTCCACCGAAGGCCCCAGTGGCACAGGCCGCATGCGGGGACCGCCACCCATTTTGGCACACCCCTCACACGGTTCGTGGCCCCACAGGGAGCTCCACCGAAGGCCCCAGTGGCACAGGCCGCATGCGGGAACCGCGCCCATTTTGGCACACCCATCACACGGTTCGTGGCCCCACAGGGAGCTCCACCGAACGCCCCAGTGGCACAGGCCGCATGCGGGGACCGCACCCATTTTGGCACACCCCTCACGCGGCTCGTGGCCCCACAGGGAGCTCCACCGAAGGCCCCAGCGGCACAGGCCGCATGCAGGGACCGCCACCCATTTAGCACGCCCCTCACGCGGTTCGTGGCCCCAAAGGGAGCTCCACCGAAGGCCCCAGTGGCACAGGCCGCATGCGGGGACCGCCACTCATTTTGGCACACCGCTCACACGGTTCGTGGCCCCACAGGGAGCTCCACCGAAGGCCCCAGTGGCACAGGCCACATGCGGGGACCGCCACCCATTTTGGCACACCCCTCACACGGTTCGTGGCCCCACAGGGATCTCCACCGAAGGCCCCAGTGGCACAGGCCGCATGCGGGGACCGCCACCCATTTTGGCACGCCCCTCACATGGTTCGTGGCCCCAAAGGGAGCTCCACCGAAGGCCCCAGCGGCACAGGCCGCATGCGGGGACTGCTACCCATTCTGGCACACCCCTTACGCGGTTCGTGGCCCCACAGGGAGCTCTACCGAAAGCGGTACCCACAATGCGGCACTCGCAGCTGCATATGGTTGGGTCCTTCGTCAGGCTAATTGTTTTCCGAGTTTCGGGAATTCGAAAACCCCTAGGCTTTGCTGCACCGATACGCAACACGCGACACGTCGCGTGTTGACACGGAGCTCAACACGTAAACTGGAAAAGTAGGTATGACTCGCACGTTCGCCAAAACGTGTGCCAATACGCTGAGCCAACACGCAACGTATTGACACGGACGTTTTCAGCACGGCACGCGTTGCGTTTCAAAACGGGCGTATCGAGGTAGCTGAGCCCCCTGGGCTGTCCACGCCGCCCTCCGGGCCCCGAGGAGGGGCCTCGGGGGCGCCGCCGCCTGGAGGCGGGGCGGAGCGGGGGCGCGCCTCGGCCACGCGGCCCGCCGCAGAGCTGGCCGCCCTCGGACGTGACCGCCCTTGCCTTCCGGACCTCCTCGTGGGCGCGCAGAGTCGTCGTCGTCGTCGTCGGCGTCGTCGGCGTCGTCGTCGTCGCCGTCGTCGACGTCGTCGACAGCAGCACCGTCGTCATCGTCGTCATCGTCATCAGCATCATCCTCATCATCATCGTTGGCATGACCATTATCACAACCAGAAACATCACCATGATGGTTGGCATCATCACCACCACCTCTACCAGCGTCATCGGTGTCATGACTATCGTCGTCATACACTGCATTACCATCATCATCATCATCATCATCATCATCATCATCATCATCATCATCATCATCATCATCATCATCATCATCATCATCATCATCAGCAGCAGCAGCAGCAACAGCAGCAGCAACATAACCACCGCTCTCATCACCAGCCGCGACAACATCATTACAATAAGCATGTGGAAGACCGCAATCTCTTCCATGAGGTCGCGGACTACATCGAGCTGAAGGCCAGCTACGAGGAGAGCACAGCCGCTCGAGAAACCACCAGCGGCGGCTCTCACCGGGCCCACGATGGCCGCGGCTGGATCCGCCGCGGACGGCACCGAGCATCAAGCCACTGGCCTGGCCCAGGCTGGAGTCGACGCCACGCTTGTGGCCTCGGGCCAGACGGGGCGGGCAGGGGGCCAGGCGCGGCGCGAGCAGGACCCGCGGGGCCTTGGGCCGCGCGGCGGCTTCCTGGGCATCGTGACGCCGCCCCTAAAAACAGGAAACACACCGTGAAAAACCGCGGCCGGAACCCTGTCTGAAACACTGCTGGGGCTGCGCCGATCTGCGAGGGCTCCGGCGCATGAGTCCCGGCGACCCACGTTTCGGGCTGGAAGGGGGCGATACGGGTTCCACATGTGGTGTTTTCCAGTGCTCCCCAACGCCCTCGCATTGAGGGCAAATGGGGGCGGGCTGGGTTGGGGTGGCTTGGTGGGTGTGGACAAGTGCGTTCCACTGCTCGCAAAGTAGCCACTCGCAAGTGGCCTGGATTCGCCGAGGGGGGGTCTACGATACATTACGTCGAGGACATTAATGTTTTCCAGACGTTTGAGAGTAGGCACCCTCCTCCTCCTCCTCCTCCTCCTCCTCCTCCTCCTCCTCCTCCTCCTCCTCCTCCTCCTCCTCCTTGCGAGTAGTGGAACGCGCCCGGTGGTTGGGTTGGGGTGGCTTGGAGGGTGGTCGGCTCGGCTGGCCGCGCCCGCGCTGGGCCGGGGGGTCGCCCGCGGCCCGGGGCTCGGTCGCGGCCTCGCGGACCGCCCGCCACGGGCGCCACGGGCTCTCCCCTGCCCCTGCGGTGCCCGCCACGGGAGGCAGCGCCGGGGTTGACCGGGCCCGCGCGCCTAGACTTGTGGATCCCATGACAATGGACACCCTACCAATCCTATAATTGAATCAACGATGTGTCTAAAATGTGTAAAACATGCTCTACAAATGTTTCAAACATGTGTTTTTACACAGTTCAAACATGTTTGAAACATCTTCTAGACATCTGGAAATTATTTGGCAGCATGCGTCCTCTCCATTAATCGACTTCCAGACCCGAAACCCCCTCGCGCTGCAAGACCCCTAGACCCCTAGACCCCCTCGCGCTGCAAGAATGATGCGCGAAAACAGAATACAGCAACAGAACAACTGTGGATGGGCTCTGTTCGGCCTCCGGGGGGCCCTTGCCGAGCCCCGGGACCCTCAAAAACACGACTCGGGTTGGAAAGGCGGTCTCTGGGAAGGGGTCGAGACTTCTGGGGGCCCACGTTGCGAAAGATCGCGGCGTCGGAGGTCTGGATATCTTCTGCCTAGGGGAGCAGGGGGTTTGGTCTGGATTCCTTGCCAACGCGCGTCTGTGGCGAAGCGGGTGGCGCTCCTCCGCGGAGGCTGGGCCCATAAATGGGCACTCATCCTCATCATCGCCATCGCAACGAAAAACATCACAGCCATAAGCATCCCCATCCCCATCATCATCATCATCATCATCATCATCATCATCATCATCATCATCAGCAGCAGCAGCAGCAGCAGCAGCAGCATCATCATCAGCATCAGTATCTTCGTCATCGTCATCGTCGTCATCAGCAGCAGCATCATCATCACCATCAGCATCCTCATCAGCATAGCATTCTCATCATCAGCAGCAGCATCATATTAATCAGCAGCAGCATCATCAGCATCATCACTATCATCATCGTCATCTGCATCTGCAGCATCAGCAGCAGCACCACCATCAGAATCACCATCAGCATCATCATCGTCATCATCGTCATCTTCATCTTCAGCCAGCGCGTGAGCGGCCACACGCGGGCCGCCGCGGTGAGCGGCCCGGGCTTGGGCGCGAAATGCGGGAGGGAAGCGCCCAGCGGGGGGGCGTGGGGAGCAGTGAGGGCGACGACAAGGACAGCCGGGGGGGGCCAAAAGTGGTCCTGGCCCAAAGTGTCCCCGTCTTTTCGCACCATGGGGCCCCTGGGGCCCTCTGGGCCTCGTGAGGGGTGCTATAGAGACCGTCTGGGGCTCCCCAGGAATCCTGGGGACACTTTGGGCCAGGGACACCCTTCTCTGGCAAGACCCGAATCCTGGCCTCGCAGCTCTTTCTCGCCGAGCGTTCTCGCCCAGATTCGGGCCTGGATCGATCCCGCTCCAGAGATGCCGCGGGAAGACGGGGTCTGGGGCCCAGGTCGTAGTTTCTCACTGTGCTTCCATGTCTTCGCCACGTCGGACCGCAGGGAATGAGCAGGAGAAGGACGAGGAGCAGCAGAGGGGGTGGGTGACGACGACGATGACGACGACGACGACGACGACGACGACGACGACGACGACGACGATGATGGTGGTGGTGGTGGTGATGGTGATGCTGATGATGTTTTTGTTCCCATCGTCGCGCTCCTTCGCGTGCGCCGCCGGCCCTTGCCAGCGGTCGCTCTCCGTAGAGGCCACGGCAGCAGGCCAGCAACTGTGAACTGCAGACCAAAAATCTAGCCGCGGCAGCAGGCCACCAAATGTGGGCTGCAGACAAAAATCGAGCCGCCCCCAACCAGTCTTCTCTCCACCCTTCCTCCCCTTCCACGGCGCGTCCCCTCGTCGTAAGTCGCGACCCTCGGCAGCCCCTCAAACCACCAGCGTGGGCGTGGACGGGCTCTTGGCCAGCGCGAACCCAACGCGCTTCTGCTCAGCGTCCCAGACGGTGTAGTACTTGCGCAGGAAGGGGTCCCCCAGGATCCAGATGGGGACGCCGGCGTTGATGACTTGCGTGGGGAACGATAGGGGGGACCAGTTCAGGGGGGGGGACATCGACCTAGAATCGGCGATACATCATCGCCGAACCGCTGATAAATCGGCGATAGGTCACCGGTAGCACATCCATCCAGTCCTGGGCAGGGCGGGCTATCGGGCCCTTATCGGCGGTGAATGCGCAATTGGGGGTCAATGAACCCCCCTCAGTCCATCCCCCCCTGACGTTGCCCCTGGCCTTGGATGCCCAGCATGCACTGCGCTTCGCCGCTCTCGTCCGCCGCCCGGATCACGTAGAAGTCCGGCCCGATCTCGAAGTCATTCCCGGCCATGGTGATGGCGACCGTTGGGAGCGCGTCCACGTTGGAGCAGTCCTGGGAGACGGTGCCAATCTCGGACGTGAGCGAATCAACTGCGCTTGGCGGCCCAGCGATAACGCTGGTGCCAGTGTCGACCACCATGTAGCAGCCGGTCCAGCCGCTGCAAGAGCCCGTGCTCTGGCCCGCCACCTTGAGGTCGGAGGCGGAGACCAGCCAGTACGGCAAATTCGCCCCCCGGGCAACCGGCACGTAGGTGAAGTCGCCAGTGTAGAATGCGGGGTCCGTGCCGCCCAGGCTGAGGGTGGAACCGGACATGCCATCAGAAGATAGGTAGAAGGCAAAGATGTTGTGCTGCACCTTGCCCTGAGCCACGAGCTGGTCCATGGGCATAGGCACCTCATCGACCGCCGCCTCGGGGACGCCCATGCCGAGGATGCCGTCAAAAGGCGCCTCACCGAACACGTCTTTCGCCTCAGTGGTGACCTCGCCGAACTTGAAATCCGAGATCGTGAGCCCCCCCCATGCTGACGCTGTCCTGGCTGATGAAGCCGTTGCAGCTGCCGGAGCCGTACTGGAGGGCGAACGGCTGGCCGTCCTCCTCGAAGGTGCTGGACGCAGTCGCGTCGTAGGTGGGGGAATGGGGCTTGCAGTTGGTGCAGCCCTTGCTGGGCACCCACAGGTTCGAGGAGCCCGTGTCGTAGATGACGGTGAACTTCTGCGCTGGCGTTCCGATCTCTACCTCCCCGAAGTACTCGGAGTCCTGGAAGTCCGTCAGGGACACGGAGGCAGGCCGTCGAGCACCTGGTCAGCCTCGACGCCTTTGAAATTGGAGCGGCGCGCTCGTGCAGCGACCGCGTGCTTCAGGCTCTTAGGGCGGTGCTCCAGCGGCAGGTGGATGACACCAGCAGCGGCGGCGCTCGCCAGGGGGATGGTGGACGCCGCAAGCAGCGTCAAGCCTCTGCGCGGAGCCAATGGCATGATGTATGGCCTCGCCTCAGATCCGCCACGGTGCCCCCTGGCATGGTGAGGCGTGGTGGAGTGCCAGGCGCTGTCGGGCTGGGTTTCTGCAAGTCTTCTGCGGCACGCCCTCCCCCCCCCATCCACAATTACACATCGTCCGGGAATGCGTTTCCCATAATTCGCAGGGCTTCGCCCTGCGAATTATGGGAAACGCAATTTTCCTCAGAAAGCTATACTCAATGAGCCGGCATTGCGTTTCCCATAATTTATTAATTATGGGAAACGCAATCCCGGACGACTGCCCCAAGCACACATTGCACGGGAAACGCGATTTTCCCGTAACTCAACTTCCGAATTATGGGACACGCAATTTCCCTTGAAAAACCGCACCCAATGGGCCAGAATTGCTTTTCCCATAATTCCGAATTATGGGAAACCCAATTCTGGCCCACGGAGTGCGGTTTTTCAAAGGGAATTGCGTTTCCCATAATTCTGACTTCAGAGAATTGCGTGGGAAACGCAATTTCCTGTGAAAAACCGCGCTCAGTGGGCCAGAGTTGCGTTTCCCATAATTTGAAATCATGGGAAACGCAATTCTGGCCCATCGAATGGTGTTTTTCATAAAAGAATGTGCGTTTTCCACAATTCGGAATTCCGAGAATTCGAATTCTGAACTTTGGGAAACACAACTTCCCTTAAAAAAACTCACTCCATGGGCCAGAGTTGCGTTTCCCATAATTTGAAATGATCGGAAACGCACTTCTGGCCAACTGAGCGTGGTTTTTCCTAGGACATTGCGTTTCACAGAATTCGAATTCCGAGTTTCGGGAAACGCTGTTTGACGTCCTCCAAGAAGGCCCGAAAGGGTCAAAATGGCCTCCAGACGGCCAAGATGACCTTCAAGATGCCCACGTGTTCCCCGAAGGCTTTCCAAACCGATTCGGGGAACACATGGTCCGATAGCTTGGCAGGTCTGGCCTCAACGTTCGGCCACATAGGCGCTTCCAAAAAGGCAGGGGGCGGCGGTGATTCGCCTGAGGCGTCTTCGATAATGACCCGTTGACCCGAATGGCTTGAGCAAGAAATAGCTACGAATGATGCTGCTGATGATACGGATAATGACAGGACTGAGGATGACGATGATCAAGGCCGTGGTGATGGCGTGACGATGCGGATGGGAATGATGATGACAATGACGATGGTTCTAATGAGGGCATGTCCTTGGGGACAGAGCCTGAGAGGGGCGGGGGGAATGAGGAGCAGGCGCAGGAGGAGGACGAAGAAGATGATGGTGCTGCGGGTGATGCTGGTGATGATGATGATGATGGTGGCGATGATGGCCTGGTGATGGTGACGACGGCAACGAAGATGGTGGCGATACTGGTAATGGTGTCAACGGTGAAGGCGGCGCTGATGATACGATGACTGCACGACCGTTGAGAGGGGCTGCGCCTGGACGAGCGGGCGAGCGAGTGTCCATCTGGCCCTACCGTGTGCGGGAAGGGCCGCGCACACTTGGGCGGGACGGGCAGGGTCGCGGCCCGTGAAGCAAAAGATATGGCATCGGAGCGAGCTCATGCCGCGGTCGCCCCATCGGTGGTATAGCCTGCTCCATTCAGCTGGCGTCGCCATGAATTTCTGCATGACTGCCTTGGGGTCCAAGAGCGTCTACGAGGCTGGCGAGGCCGAGGAAAGCCAGGTGACGTCGCTGTGTTCTCCAAGCTGTCTGGGGCCTTGAGGGGAGGGACAGGCATCAGAGATGTAGCTGTAGGAGGAGGCCTGGATGTCGCGGTCCCAACGTTTGTGAGCTGCCGCCATGGATGCGGCGAGCTTCGTTAATGTTTGCCATATTGCTCGTGCCAACGGAGACCACACTGGATGCTGCTTATTGGCAGGTGGCTGGCCACCTTTACGGCCAGTCTCCATACTTGGCGACGCTGCGCGGGTTTGCAATTGGCGATGTGTGAAAGCGTGATACTTGTTCTGCCAGATGTGTCGCACGTCGGATGTTGATTCGTCGAAGCAGAGGTTTGTCATGCTCGTGGCGGTAGCATGGCCTAGTTGCACTCTCTGCTGCTTGTCTTGCCCGTTTGTCGCCAATGGTCCCATGATGAGTTCTAAAAGTGCGTTTCACGGACCAAGCCGAAGTCCAATGAGCAACTGTGCAAGTCGGTTTGTTCAATGGCCGTCTGGACAAGATCTAACCTTCTTGGAATGTGAACGTAACCAGGTGCTGCGCCTTGCGCAAGCATTGCTGCTGACAGACTATCGTGCTCTACCGAGTTAAAAGGTTATTGAAAATCAAGCCTCTGCAAACCATACCAGCTCGTTACATTCCCGTGCTCAGTATCGGACGATGTCGGAAGTGAGGAGGGAGTAAAATGTAGAGAGTCCTGGTCCGAACCCTGGTTTATCGGAGGTCCGGCGTCGGTCGAGCGTGGGCTGGAGTCGGTTGCACAGGAGGCAGCTGAACAGCTCGCAGAGTATCGTACAAGTAGTCCTGCAGCTCGATAGTGATGTGGGGTCCCCTGTTTTCGGTACTACTGAAGTGACCGACTGCCTCCAGGCCTATGGTGCAACCGCGTGCAGGTGCACGATGGAACTGCACTTGAGCAGAATGGCAATGCTTGGGGGAGGAGGAGGAGAAAGAAGAGGAGGAGGAGGAGTAGCAGGAGGAGGAGGCGGAGGAGGATTCTCCTCCTCCTCGACTCACCCTTGTCCCTGCAAGCCGCAGCAAAGACACGGCGATCCTCCTCCCCATCCGCCTCCTCCCCCTCCTCATCCTCCTCCTCCTCCTCCTCCTCCTCCTCCTCCTCCTCCTCCTCATCCTCATCCTCTTCCTCTTCCTCTTCCTCTTCCTCTTCCTCTTCCTCCTCCGCCCCCCACCCTTCCCCCCCCCCCTTACCTACCCCCTCCAGACTCTGGAAGACTTTTTCGCGGGCTCGGCCAGGCAGCGGCCAGCGGGGGACCAGGGAGGAGGTTGGATCGGGAGGGGACGAAACGGGGCCTCCAGGGGAAGCTGGAACATGACACCTGGAGGCCGCCCAATGATGGGGCCACAGCATGCGGGCTCAGAAGATCGCACCGCATCGCCGATGCATCGGCGACGCCCCCGCGACTTCGGGGTGGTGGAAATCGGACCCTGGATCGCGCCTGGATCGCGCCGCATCGCCGATGCATCGGCCATGGGGTGTGACCTTCGGACCCCCTCTGCTCCAGCCCCGTATAGCCGGCCTCGACTACGGCTGGACCTAGGACAGAAGAACATCCTTCAAAAACATGCGACCCTCCGCCGGCCAAGCTGAAGAACACTCGAGGGCACCCTCCCCAAGAATGCACAAGAAGATCCAACGAGCACGAAAAACATCAGGGCACCCTCCCCGCACCGCTCTCGACCTTGCACCTCAGCCCGACCGGCACCAGACGGCCCGAAACCTCACACGGCTGCACTCGCACGAGAGGAGCACGGAGGGCCAGAAGACTGCGGGAAGCTGCGGGGACCGAGGGCCCAGCACGGACACGGGCCTGCCGAGAGATTGTGTTCGTGCCGATTTCTGGCCCTCCAGGAACTCTTTTTTTGCTTGGAGGGAGAAGATGGGAGCGGACCGCAAGATTCAAGAACCTAAGGATGCAAGGGCCTTGGACGCCCATGCTAAGGTTCTTCGAGCCGGGCTGGCCATCGAAAAACACACACAGACACTCACACAGACACACACACACACACACTTTTGGGGTCGCGGCCCGGCGCGCGGCGACAGGGCGGAGAAGGTCTCAATGCGGGTAGCGCGCACGCGGACTGGAAGCGCCCGAGCTCTCAGAGACCGCTCTGGCTTTCGCCGCCACCGCCAGCCTCACGCCATCCGGGCGCAAGTGGCAGAGGGGCAGAGGGGGCAGACGGGGCAACGGTGCGGTGAGGGTGAGGTAAGCCAACGGGGACTGGAAGGCGAGAGCACAGATAGGGGGCCACATGCGAACCCCACCCTCCCCCCAGAAAGCGTGGGGGGTAGGGGTAGGGTTCGCATGTGGCCCCCTAACACACCCACACACACACACACACACACACACACACACACACGCACACACACACACACACACACGCACACACACGCACACACACACACACACACACGCACACACACGCACACACGCACACACACACACACACACACTGCTGGATTCGCACAAGCACGTGGAGGCCACGCGCGCCGGCTGTGCGGAGGGGTGGCGCGCCCGGCCACACCAGGGCCGAGCGCCGGCGGGCCCTGCGGCCGCGTGTGCATCCAGATCTCGGCGTGGCCAGCCACATCTGAAGGGGCCCTGGGACACACACAAATAAAGTACACACGAATAACAGGAGCCCCCATATTTTCCCATGTTTCCCATATTTTCTGGGAAATCGACGATTAGTTGTGTCTGTGTGTTTTTCCCCTCCTGAACATCACTGGAGGCCTCCCAAATGGGGTCCGAGCAGATGGGGTGGAAGGGTCGCGTCGCATCGCCGAGGCATGACCGATGCATCGGCGACGCAGGCGTGGAGAGAATCGGGCGCCACATCGAGCCGCAACGCGGACGCATCGGCTGCGCGGCGCGATCCTCCGACCCCGTCTACTCGGACCCGCACGTCGTCCGGTCTACGGGCCGTAGCTCGGCTCTCTGGCGGCCGTCCTGGCACCCCAGGCACTGCATTCGACGAGGCGCCGCCGATCTCAACCACCCCGGGACTCGAAGACGTCCGAAAACGCTCGAAAGCCCGATCTGGGAGGCCCGCGCAAGAGCCCCGTGCGTCCAGCTGCCTTGACAGACCTCTGGGCGCCGCGAAGAACCGCTGGCGAGCGTCCTCGGCCCTCGTCGCGGGCCCCCATCGCGGGACGGAGCAGACAGCGCCGGCAGAGGCCGAGAGCTCGGGGCGCGGTTCCTCGCGACGGTGCGTGTGTGTGTGTGTGTGTTGTGCTCTTCACGGCGGCGCAGGTCCACGGGTTCAAGACCAGGAGGTACAGGCATCGTGCCACCATAGGCAGGCAAGCGCGCTCCACTGCTCGCAAAAGTAACTACTCGCAGATGGCCTAGATTCGCCCCGGGGGCTTTACGATCCACTGCATCGACGCAAACATGTGTTTTCCGGACGTTTGCGAGCAGGCACTCTGGGAGTAATGGAACGCGCTCGGTGAATAGTGAAGGGGCCCCGGGACACACAAATAAATAGACACAGATAACAGGATTCCCCATATTTCCCCATATCTCCCTGGGGATCGACGATTCATTGTGTCTGCGTGCTTGTTCCCTCCCGAGACTGGGAAAGAACCCTGAGCGAGCAAGGGAGGGGGCCCCTCTGGGCGCGGCGAGCCGCGGCCGCGAGCGGGTCCCCCGACCTGGATATGAGACTCGGCCGTGGGAACCCTGGGCCGCCCCTCTGAGCAGCCCACAGCGGCCCTCCCCTCGGCACCTGCCGCCGCTCCCTGGGGGCGAGTCCGCAAGCCCCGAACCCCAACAGCGTTCCCACCTCTCTTTTGGGGGGGCGCACCTCCGTACTTCCGCCGCCGTCCGCCGGCCTGCCGCCGGCCTGCCGCCGGCGGAGGCGGCCTCGCCTCACTGCCGCCGCCTCCCGCAGCCCTTCCGCCGCCTCCCGCCGCGGAAGAGATGCCAACTCTTTCGGCCCTCGAAGGCGAGGCCCTATACTTCGGGGGTACTGAAGTTTTTGACCATAAGATGAGAATTGCCTCGCTGGTCACGCGTGCCGCGGAGGACCGATCAGGATGCAAAGGTGCCTTGATGCGGATTCGCGAGCCTTTGTGGGCCCTCTGGGACGGCCAACCAGTGAACCGAGAGGCCCTATATGGAACGCCCCATTGGTTCTCGGCGCGCCCAAGAAGACGAAGCCAGCACCGCGGCAGACCCCGAGGCGCACCTTGCGCCCGGAGCGTGGTGGCCGAGGCGCACCCCCAAGACGTGAGCCCGCGCGTCGGCACAAACGGCGCGGCGACATCTCGACTGTATTTAGTCTCGCTGTGTTCCCTGGTGTCCCTTGGCCTTCAGCTTCAACCCAGCCCCCTTTGGTCCCCTCCTGATGGGAATCGGGGGCGCACTGACTGGGGTCGATGCAAGCCCCGGTCAGTCAAGCTTTGCATGAGGCTGCAAGATCATGCAGGACCGTGCGCGCAAACCCGGGTCAAGCCCCCCTGGCTCCGCAGAATCCTGCAAGATCCGGCGCTCTGACTGACCCCCGTTTGCACTGACCCCCGTCTCAAGGCTCCCGAGGGAGAAGGAGTCCGCCTGTGCCGGCCTCGGTGCTACACCTACGCCGGCTTCAGGCGCCCCTCGACCAGCTCCCGGAAAATGCTTAGCAGCTGGCTGCAGATGTCGTCGCAGACGTCCTTGCGGCACGACTTCACGGTCACCTTGAGCTCCAGCAAGCCCTCCTTCCCCAACGCGGCGCACATGCACACGACCCGTGCACCCGCAGGCAGGGCGACCTGGCCCTGGAGCGGCGACTGTGCCTGCTGCGCCGGCGGGTTGGCCACAAGCAAGAACTTCTGACCCTTCGAGGCCCCGCTGGCCGCGCCTCGGATCCCGTGGAAGTGGCACAGCCCCGCGGCCGTGCCGACCAGCCCAGGCAGCTCGTCAGCAAGGGCCTCGGCGCTCTTGCCCGGCGCGTTCAGGTTCACTGCCTGTGCGGCCTGCTGGCTCAGCATCGTCGCTGCGTGCTGCCCGATATACTCTGCTACGGCATCCTCGGTCATGGCCGCAGGCTCCAGGAATGTGGTGGCTGGGAGGGGCAACTCCAGGCTCCCAGTCTCGGTGCTGGCGGCGGAACCGTCGGCGGCCAGCATGTACTGTAGCTGCAGCTGCAAAGGGCACGCAGCTGGCGCCAGGAACGGCGCCAAGCCCAAGTTCAGCTTGACCTTCGCGGACCTCTCCACGAGCTCGCCTGGCACGAGGACCACTACGCCTGCGCCGTCAGCCTCCTGCGCTGAAAGTCCGCTGGGCAGCGCCACTGTCACGGCCGACACGGCCGAGCCAGGCACAGAGCCCACCCTCTCGCAGCGCATCTCGACGCGCAGCTGCTGCTTCTTGAAACTCTTCTGCCTGACGCAGAAGTAGACGGCCACGTGTCCGTCCCGGAAGCACTGCGACCAAAGCCGGCCCTGGAGCTCGCCGAGCTCCTTCTCGGGCGGCACCGGCAGGCCCGTGGCAGCGCCAGCCGCGGGCGGAGGCGCCTTCTGCGCGGCGGGGCCGCCAGAGGGCGCTGACGGCGCCTTGATGTCCTCTCGGTACACCTCGTACTTGGCGGTGGCGCCGCCGGCGCGGCTCGCCGCCAAGCGCTCCCGCATCTGCTCCAGCGGGTCGGTGGCCGCAGCTGGCGCGGCGACCTTGGCGGCGTCCTCGGCGGCGGCGCCGTCGCCGGCAGCCGCGCCGCCCTGCTCGGACAGCGGGGAGCGCCCCGCACCCAGGTAGAACAGGGAGGATTTCTGTTCCGACTGGGAGGGGCTGACGGCGGACTGCTTCGCTTCCTGTGCGGCCATGAACCCGAGGTCGTCCTTGTAGGTTGCTGCCAGTGCATAGGGATCTGTCGGGTCGGCCTTGACGGGCGCAAAGGTGCTGTGCGGGGCCTCCTCGGGGGCAAAAAAGGGCTCGTCCAAGAGCAGCTCCTCGCGGGCGGGCACCGCCTGCTGCGCCCCCGCGGACACGGGCAGCAGCGGTTCCTGGAACAGCACGACGCCCGCCGCCATCTTGCCCACGTCCGCCTTGAAGAACGAGGCAAGATTCATCGCCAGCGTAGCCCGCTCGGAAACGTCCACGTGCGTGGACTTTATGAAGGCGGGCAGGTGCGCGACCAGCAGCTCGTGGAGCTCCGCACAGGCGCCTGGGGCGACGGTGGCGGAGCCCATGTAGAGCTTCGCGGTGGCCCAGACACACTGCGACTGGATGGTGGGCTCCAGCGCCTGTATCGCCTTTGGCACAAGCAGTGCGCGGGCGGCCCGCAGAAACGTGGCCTCCAGTGGCCCCTCGAAGGCATCGAAATACTCGCCCAGTGTCCAGGCGCAAGCGCCAATCATCGGGACCGCCACGTCCAGGGCGCCGGCATCCTTAGCCGCGCCCTGCTCCGCGTCGCCGCCAGGCGGGGTCTGGTCAGCGGGGGTGGTGCGGTCTACCAGCCCCAGGGCGAGGGTGGTGGCGTAGGGGCGAACCTGAGGCACACGTGCCGCGATGTCCGTGAACTGCTCGGCCACCTGCAGGCAAGTCTGGCTGGAATGGGCCGAGTCCAAGCTTCTGCTGATGTCGGCCAGCACCAGGAGGTACCATGCGAAGTCCTCCACGAGCGCGTAGCGGTCTCGGCCGCCCATCCTGAGTATGGTGCCGACAAACTCGTCCGTTGGCGCTGCCGTGTTCTTACTGAACTCCATCAGCTTCTTGACCGTATCGACGAAAGACTCGGGGGTTACAATGCGGTCCAGCAGGAGCAGCGCAACCTTTCTGGCAGTGGTGTCGGACTCCGCGATGCAGATGAGCACCTTCTCATGCACTACTGGCAGCGAGCACTTCTCCTTCAGGTGCGGCTTGTCCAGCATCTCCTTGAACATCTCCAGGGCAATGAATCTCAGATTGCGGTCGGAGGAGTTCAGGAGAGCTTGCAGCTTCTCGATGGCCTGCGAGGTGAGGGTGGGCTCCTCGGACGTGCCCCTGATGGCAGTGCGGATGACCTCGAACTCAACGCTCTGCGCCTTGGTAGTGTTCAGCAGGTTCGTCAGGGGCTCCACCATCTTGGACGGCAGGCGGGGCTCCAGGGGGCACAGCAACTGGAAGAGCTTGAGGAGCTTGATCGTGAGCCAGTTGTTCGCAGTGTTCACGAGGATGTGGTAGAGCTGCGGCACGAGCGACAGGTAGTTCCTGGCGTTCTTGCGCGCCAGCTCCAGGAACGTGTTCACTGTTGCGGTGAGGACGCCCTGGTCCTCATCGCCCAGGCGTTCCTTCAACTTCGGGAAGCAGGTGCGGAGCGCCGGCGGATCCTTCAGGAAGACGCGGTACATGCACAGCACCGTCTTCTTGCGCAGGTAGGCTCGGGACGAGGTGAGCATGGACTGGAGGTCTGTGATCAGGTCGCGCGCTACCTCGGCGGTGCAGATGCTACTCAGCGTGCTGATCGCCAGCCCAGCTTCGTACTGGCTCTTGGACTTGAAGTCCCTCTTGAACAGGTTGGGTGTGAGCAGCGCCACTGCCGTCGAGTCCGTGAAACTCATGCAGGCAGCAAGGTATCCTGGCCGCTTCACCCCAAACTTGTTGTGGCTCATAACCTCGACGACCGTGAAGTCCGCGAAGGTCATGTCGTACCCAAGCATGTTGAGATACGCCAGCTTCAGCACCGCGCTGGACTGCGTCGCCAGGTTCTTGGAGACCACCTCCCTCTGGATCTCCTGCAGGCAGAGGTCGATGTAATCGCGCTCCTTGCCGCGGTGCGCGCGAATGCCCTTGACCATGGCGACGAGGTTCTTCTCGAACACCATCGCTGCCCTCCCGCCCGGCGCCGCTGGCGGCTGTGGGGGCTGCGCGCGGGGGGGGGGAACGCGGGGGGCGGCCACCCCGAGGAGCGCGCCGCTCGGGTCAGAGTGGCCACAGGCGACAGGATAAGGGGACGAGGCGCCGTGCTGGGCTGCAGCTCTGGAGGGCACGAGCACGGTGACAGCAACCACGACAGGACGCGGAAATGTCGTTGGCGATCCTGGTCGTCGTCCATCTCGGCCATCGCCGCATCGTGGATCATCCCCGCGAATCGTTGACGGCCAGCGTGGATCACAACCAAGGTCGTCGTGGACAGGACCCCGCGACACCTTGGCCATGGTCATCCTGCTTCTTTCCTCGATCTGCCGCGGTCTCCGTACAGTCGGAGGTTGGGGAGCGAGATCGGAGTGAGACGGAGACCCCCAACGGGATATCAGTCTCGGTCTAGTGTTCGTGACGCGCGTGCGAGCTGGGCGAAGCTGCGCGCGCGGGCGAGGGGAATGATTCCGCCGCTGCTGGGGCGAAGACAGAGCAACTGCTTCTCCCCCGTCCGGTTTGCGAATTTGGCGCCGGGGTTGTCTGCGGTTGCCCCGTGGTTGTCTCGTGGTTCTCCCGCGGCTGTCCCGGTGTTGTCCCGATGGTTGTCCTCGTGGTTGTCCCGACGGTTGTCCCGACGGTTGTCCCGCTGGTTGTTCCGACGATTGTCCCGATGGCTTTCCCAATGGTTGTCCCGGTGGTTGCCCCGACCCGATGATTGTCCCGATCATGGTCCCAATGGCCGGTTGATAAATGGATAGTGGGCTCGATATGAAGGAAAGATTAGATAGTGAGGCCGACAACAGATAAGTCAAACAACATTGACAGTGATAGATATACATAGATGGAGCGATAGATAGATCCGCCACCGTGCCTGCACGGAGCGGGCGTGTTAGAACCTGGGCCGGCACAGGAACGGCAAGAGCGGTTCCATGGAGCATCTCCGAGAATGCTCATGATAGCGGCATCCGCTCCGGGGAGCCTTTACGTTTAAGAGATTTGTGTGTCACTGAGAGCTCTTCTTGGAAGCCTCAGCGTTGGGAAGGTTTTGGCGTCACGTATAGCCCTTGGAAGCCTTGGTATCGAAAGCTCTGCACGTCACCATTCGCTCTTGGGGGCCTGGGTGTCCAAGCTTTCCACGTGACAATTAGCTCTTGTGAACCTTGGCGCTCATAGCTCTTGACGTCTTCGGGAGCTCTGGGGAGCCTTGGCGTCAACAGACTCGTACGTCTCCGACTCGTCTTGGAAGGGGCATTCCGTCACCTGGAGCTCTTCGGAGCCTGGGCGTCAACGCCGTGTCCGTCACTGGGACGTTTCGGCGCGGGAGCCTGGGCGTCAGATTTGTGTCCGTCACTGGGCCGAAACTTCCTCGGGAGGGCTCACAGCGTCGTTCGGTCTTGAGAGCACTGGTGTGAAGAGCTTTCCGCCTCACCAAGCGCTCTTGGGAGCCTTGGCGTTCAGACCTCTTTACGTCATCATTCGTACCGGGAGCCTTGGCGTTCAAAGCTTCCAAATCACTGCTCGCTCCTCGGAGCCTTGCTGTTCAGAGCTTGTCACGTCTCTGTGAACTCTTAGGAACTTTGGTGTTCGGAGCTGTTTAGGTCACCGTTCGCTCTCGGAAGCCTTGGTGATCAGAGCTATCGTTCGCTCTTGGGAGCCTCGGTGATCAGAGCTTGTCACGTCACTATGAGCTATGGGGAGCCTCGGTGCACAGAGATGCTTGCATCATCGGTCGCTCTTTGGAGCCGTGGCGTTCGAAGATTTGTATGGGGACCCTTGGCGTTTGAAGTTGTACGCCGCTGAATACTCTTGGGTGTCCCCATTGAGAGGCTCTTACAGACATCTTGAGGGCCTCTTGGGGGCGTCTTAGGGCTCTTTTGGGCCGTTTTGGGGCCCTCTTGGACCGTCGGGTGGGGGCTTGGGCCAGCTTAAGGCCCTCTTAGGGGCCCCCTTGGGAGCCTCCTGTGGCCCTCTCGGGGCTCTCCTGACAGCATCTTGGGGCTCTGTGGGGCCCTCCTTGGGCCGTCTTAGGGCTCTCTTAGGCATTTTTGAAAGCAGCTTGAGCCAGCTTGAGTCCCTCTTGGAAGCATCTTGGAATGTGTTGGGGCGATCTCGGATGTCCCCAGAGCAGTCTTGGGTCGTTCTTGGCCAGAAAAAGGGAGAATCCGAAACATCCATTAAACACCGAAGACAACATGTGTGGTGTGCCTTCTCCGGGCCTCTTGGGGGTCCTCTTGGGGGCCTCTTGGGGCGGTTTGGGGGCCTCTTGGGGCCGTATTGAAGCCATCTTGAGCCCTCCTGGAACACTCCTGGAACGTCTTCGGGTCCTCGTGGGCGTTTCTTAGGTCATATTGGGGTGTTCTTTGGCTGTCTTGGTGGCCTCCTAGGCCGTCTTGAGCCTTCCTGGGCCGAAAAAGCCGCCAACATGGCCCTTGAGGGCGTGTTAGAAACCTGGGCGGGCACGGGAACGGAAAGAGCGGGTCCGTGGAGCGGATATTTCAAACGGTCTCGGGGGTTCGGCGGCCGTTTACGCGGCAGCGATTTGGACATAGGGATTGCCATGCATGCTTGTTGGAGCAAAGTGGAGCGCGAGTCACGGTAAGACGGCCGCCGTGGTGATCGGAGTTGTTGTGTCACCGTCCGCTCCGAGGAGCAATGGCAGTCAGAGCGTTTGACGGCACGGTTCGCTCTGGTGGGGCCTCGTAAGAGGCTCTTGGAGGCATCTCGGAGTGCCTCTTGGAGGCCTATTGGGGGTCTTTTGGGCAGTGTGGGGGCCTTCTGGGGCTCTCTTGGACCGTCTTGGGGGGCTTGAGCTGGCTTGGGGCGCTCTCGGGGCCCTCTTGTGAGCCTCCTGTGGCTCCCTCAGGACTCTCCTGGGAGACTCTTGGGCCTCTGTGGGGCCCTCCTTGGCTCGTCTTGGGGCTCTCCTGGGCCGTCCTGAGGCGCTCGTGGACCGCCTGGGAGCCTCTGGGGAAGGTTTGGAGGCGACCTCGGAGGTCCCCGAGGGCCGCGCGTGGCCGCTTCCAATCCGAAGAAGCGGAAACCCCAAATCCTCAAAAGGCCTTAGGGAAATCAATGGTTCTTGCCTCCGGAATCCAGCTTAGAAATCCTCGTGAAGGCCTCTCGGGCCGTCTCGGGGGCTCCTTGAACCGTCTCGGGGCCATCCTCGCCCCTTCTGGAGCGCTCTTGGGCTGGCTGTCTTGGGGCCTCTTGGGCGTCTCTGCGGCCGTCTTGGAGGCATCTTAAGCCGTCTTGGAGGTCTCTTGGGGGTCTCCTGGGCCGTCCTGGGCTGAAGAAGTCGCCAACATGGCCCCCGGAGGGCGTGTTAGAAAAAAGGCCTGGTCCAGACCCCCCCCCAGACCTACCCCATCGGGGCTAAAGCCCTATGCAGAACTTCTCTCGCTAGCGATCTTTCCGTCAAATTCTCCTCCGCCACGCGCCCCCCAGTCCCCACCCCCATTGGGGATAAAGCCCTTTGCAGAACTTCTCTCGCTAGCGCTCTTTCCGTCACATCTTGAAGGCCTCTTGGGGTCCTCTTCGGGCTCTTGTCGGCTGTTTTCGGGCCCTCTTGGACCGTTTTGGGACACTCTTGGACTGTCTTGAAGGGCTTGAACTGGCTTGAGGCGCTCTTGGGGCCCTCTTGGGAGCCTCCTTGTGCCCCCCTTGGGGCTCTCCTGAAAGCCTCTTGGGGCTCTCTGTGGGGCCCTCCGTGGGCCGTCTTGCGGCTCTCTTGGGCCGTCTTGAGCCGATCTTGGGCCGGTTTGAAGCCCTCTTGGGAGCCTCTGGGAACGTTTGGGGGCGATCTAGCAAGCCTCTATGGCACTCTTTGCCCGCTTCGGGCCCGAAAAAGCGAGAACATCAAATTCAAAAATCTTAGGAAGGTCTATGGTTTGTCCCTCCTGAGTCCCTCTTGGAGGTCCTCGTGGGGGCCTCTTGGGGCGTCTAGGGGGCATCTGAGGCCGTCTTGGGGCCATCGTCGCTCCTCGTAGAGCGCTCTTGGGCCGTCTTGGGGCCTTTGGGGCCTCTCTTGAGCCGTCTCGGAGCTCTCTTGAGCCGTCTTGGGGGCATCTTCGGCCATCTCTGGGTCCTCTTGAGCCGTCGTGAGACCCCCTCGGCCGAAAAAGCCGATAACATGGCCCCCCATAGACAATTGCCCCCAGCCAGCCCCCTCCCCAGACACCCCCCCCATTGGGGCTGAAAACCCTGTGCAAAACTTCCCTTGCTAGCGCTCTTTCCGTCATCCGTCTCTATGGTCTGGAAGGTGTCCTCAGACTTTCTAGCGCCGAACCCTCCCTCGTAGTACGCCCCCCCAGAAAACAGCATCCCTTGGATTTGCTGTCTGGCGTTCTTTTCAGCCTCCAGACGGCAAAGATGGCCTCCGAGAAGGCCTCCAAGACAGCCAAGAAGACACGCAGACGGCCTCAGATGGCCCATGACGGCTCAAAAGGCTCCCATGACGGCATCAATACGGTTCAAGAGGCTCCCAAGACGGCCAAAGAGGGCTCAAAGAGGCACTCTCGAAGAGCCCGAGCAAGGAAAAACCAATGACTTCCCTCAGGTGTTCGGAGGATGGTGATGTTCTCGCTTGTTTGGGTCTGCGACCGCACAAGATGGCCCAGGCCCAAGATGCCTCCAAGATAGCTCCAAGGCAGCCCAAGAGGCCCCCAAGAAAGCCCTCAGTCCATGAGACCCTCAATAGGCCCCC